CTTATTGCTGCAGGATGTGCAGGTAGGCTCCTTATGTACTCTTCAAGTCAAACTAGGGACAAGTTATTTGTTTACAACAGTTAAGGACAATTTGAAATTTCTCCAGGACTGCTTGGTCCACACTTAGAAAGTTTGTGTCTAAAGTCTAGTCACTGTCACTGTGAATAAGTAGCAAAAGGTTTATACCCTGCCAAACTCCCCATGAACTTTCCACCTCCTTACCCACATCTTGTTTATGTTCCAGCCTGTCTGGCACTGGTCATAGGAGGGACTCTCAGCGTGTACTGCAAGAAAAGAAGGATTCCAAAGGAGAAATCATCCTCTACAGAGACACACAGACTCCTGGATACTGAGGAAAAGTCTGAGGAACCAGTTTACCAGGGGCTCTAGTACACTTTGTGTAGCTGTTTTACATATCCTCTATCATAATTAATCAGGGCTTTCCAACTTTTACAGCAGTTATACATGTACAAATATACAAGGCAAATATGATCTGCATTTTAGCAAATTTCTATCCTCGTCAAGCTACTTTCCACTGTCTTTAATATTAGGTTGAGAAATCAATTATTCCCCAATGCCTTACTCTTCTCATGACCAGTCAGAATTGTCAGGGACCTGGTAAAAAAACAGTGGATATATGTACACTGCACTAACTACTGATGAGCCGGCTCTCTTTCATGTCATGTGTTTGTGCAACACATACAGATTTTTGAAATTTGACAATGGAGATATTCAAAGTCTATAAGGAACTGTTTGTGGTAAAAAAAGTACTACCAGTAGTATGTGCATGTCAATGACATAACCTGGACGCACATATATCAAGTGCAATAAATTGAAGGTAAATGTTACTGCAAAGAACAGGCAGTAGTGGGGATGTAATGCTGATAATGAATGTTATGTTTTGTATTAGATTGATTTACCCTTAACCATTGTAAAGCTATCATGGTTTTCTAAAACTGATCTGCTTGATTTATTTTGTACTACTGGCATGGGTTGGTTTTAGTTGGCAGTGGAATAGGAATAATATCTGGGAAGTTTGTTAACATCTCCAAAAGGGTGTTGAGATTTTATTTTCCAAACGTTTGAGCATAACATCATGAGCATATTACATGTAATAATATTATCCAGAAATCTGGCTATTTGCTGCTAAATGTATTTTACAGCTGAGGTGATAGTTTTTTTTTTAATTTTTCAGCTTGATGTTTTGGCAAAGGGGCAGTATTAAACATACAGTTATGTTAAACATGGAAATTCATGTATCATATGGTGTGGTGTGTTGGTAGGGCTATAATTGCATTTTGAACATTTAGTACACAAATATTCCAGGCTCACACACATATGCTCACTCTGTTGCTGTTGATTTCCCTGGGAAACTGGCACCAATACACAGTATTAAATGCCATCGCCCCAAATCGGATGGCACCCAGGCTAATCCTCACCATGGCAGGTGGTAGATAGTCTTGATCCATGTTTTGATACTAAGTGTTCCCTCATGTCAGAAAAAGTTTCCAATACTGTGACAAGGTAAAAAAATTGATGCATCAAAATTATGTAATATGTGTTATATTTTCATGATTATCCTAAAGATTTTACTATGTGGTTCATGGTACAAAATTGTCAACTTCCTCTACAAAAGATATTGGAATAAACAAAAATACCAAGGCCTGTTTGTAGTGCTATTATTTGAAATCAGTGCAAATAATGCTATACAATTCCTTACAATGCATATTGAAAACATAAAAGTTAAAATAACAAGATAAGGCCACAGCAAGTAATTTTTATGGATGACATCAGCGCGCGCATTAATTTTCGCATGATTTTGGAAAAAAAACAATAAATTTTATTGCCTTCCTGGTCAACATGCCGAAAATGGGCAAAGATGTCTGTTGTCATGCCGGAAGGTGGATGGCAGATAACTATGAAGAGAGGAGACAAGAAAAAGCTCTGATTAAATGTTTTGTTTCCTATTTTGATGCAGTGATATGTGATGCTGGCTGTGTATATGTGATGTTCTCACTGAATCAAAACCATTTGTACAATGATTGAGTCAAAATTTTAAATTGTAGGAACCTTGTTTTTTTTTTTTCGCCCGCTCGCATTAGATTTGGAATCTGCGGAGGATGTCATCCATAAAATTTACTTGCTGTGGCCTAACTATAACGTTAGCTTTTTATAGTGACTCGTATAGCAGTATTGAAATTTCTTAAGTTATGGACAGAATGTTATCCCCAAAATGATGTTTGAATATTTAACGTTAACTATAGGGGATAACCCTTCATATAATCACGGAGGTTACCTCCATGATATAATAGAGCCTAGACCCGCCTTTGGAAAAGTGAACTGGTTGGGACTTCTACAACGATGTTACGAGTTCTCTCCAACGTCCAAGAAGGAAAACATGGAAATATTTTCCAAGAGAATAGAACAACGACAGCCATTGTTGTTGTTGTTGTCCTTGTTTTACGTCTAATATCTCGCTAGACGTGGTCTTTCGGTGCTAGTTTGCCCTTGGTTCATTGCCTCTCTATTTAATTCTCTTGGTGCCATTGCGTCCTGCTGCCTGTCACAGACATTTCGCGCTGTTTACTTCAGATACGTTGGGGCGATACCACTACCTTGGGCGATCCGATTTCAAAATGATTACATACTACTATCAACAGTATCATTTTTATACAATAGATTTCTAAATATAGAAAATTATTTAATAAAAAGCACAAAAAACGATATTTGATATCAAAAGAATAGCTGAAGAAAGAGTAAGTTGAATGAACAGCTCCCCTAACTGGTGAATGGTTTCGTCCCGGGTCACAACGGTCAGATTAGCATATGCCCGGTAAGTTTGAACGCTTGAGGAGACGCTAATGGTTAAAGTACAACTAAAGCAAACAGACGCTTGTGTTCATTTAAACGCCGTCTCCAGACGATGCTCTGTTGTCTAACATGCGTGTAACGTAGCGTTGAACGTCAGCTTGGCTTGAATACGCGACGTTTGAGGCCAGAAGAGCTCCAAGAACGACGTACTAAACGGCAGGACCACGCCAAGCCGAGGCGCCACCCCTGGGGCGAGCTCCAAACTCTACTCGTTCGTCTGGGCGTGTAGTTCAAGTCTTTTCGTTTCTGGCTGCTGTTGGTCTCTGTAAAGGTTACAATTCTTTCTACCGTTCGCAACTAATTGGTAGCTATAGTTAACATAGATTTTGAGAGGGTGCAGAAAGTTACTAGCACTAGGCTGGTAGCCGGACCATCCCCGATAACTCTACGGTGCTGAAAGTACTGCCCACCCGCTCCGGTCCATTACCGCACGCCGGGGGTTATTACGGGGTCGGTTTGAAAATTACAGTAGTTAGCCTACAGGATGGCAAAATAATGGTTATGTTGCCTGCCTATGGTTACTTTTTAATGGCATAGAACTAAGCCTAACCCGGCCTGCGGAGAGTGGTAACCAGGATTACTTTATGAGGTACAACTACAAGTACAAGCTTGCGCAAAACTTCGACCCATATGGTTATGTAGGGGGGGGGGGGATATACAGTGTAGTTTGAAAACGTCTACTAGTAGTAGGTAGTTGTACTGCAGCTTCGTCTGGTTGGTAACTCATGCCAGTCCTGGTCCAAAAGTTATTTGGGCTAGAAAATCTAACCTTACCTGGTTAGTTACCATTCATGACCTTGATATATATATATATATAAGGTGTCATTGTTTGAAATTTAAATGATAAAGCATCATAATTAGTTTCATTCCTCAATGAGACGCTTGATGATCCAGGTCATTGTTTCTTTTCAATTTTATGTCAATGCACTTCATATATATATAAAAAAATTAGGTTGATTTTGTTTGTTTTTGGATTCAATGTTCATTGCAAGTCTTTTCTCTTATCATGATTACAAGTAGTCTGTACATGTATTTCATACTGTTGTCACTATACTCAGATCTCATTAGACGAGCAATTAATTGCTCATCAGTCTCATTACAAAAGTTATTTCACAGGTAGTGTCCAGAGAACAAGACACAAGAATGGCAGCTTACCCGACCAGTGCAGCGGTGGGCAGTACAGCGGAACCCTACAGGGCCACCAAACTGGTTAGTGCTGTTTTCTTATTTGAAACTCCTGCATATAACTTGCTACTACTTATTGTACAAAGAAACATTATCCTTTTAGGACAGACTACCATTAGCTGAGTGAAATGATTTTGCAATAAACACAACACTTACCTTGAGACTTTCATTGGCAAATCAGTCTTTATTATACATACATGTATTTACATTGTACATGTATCATGCATTGTAATTATTAAGCAAGATTATCCACAGCTCTACTAGTAGGAAACCACATTGCAGTCAAAGAAATTTCATTCCATGCTTTGAGTAGAACAATCATTCTTTTTTTATTCTGCCTTCCAGTGGAATGCAGCCATTGAAGCCTTCTGTCAGGGCATGCCGACAGGCACGCGCCGGTTTCTACTACGTCAGTACGACAGCTCATTCACCGCTAGCGAGGCTGTAGACTGGCTACACCAGTACCTGAGGAGTAGTGATGACTTCGGACCCTCAGTCACCCGGCACCAGACTGTGCAACTCCTGCAGAAGTTCCTCTCTGCTGGGATATTTACTGAAGTCCGTGGCAAGGGCAGTAGTTTTCACGACAACAAGAATATATACAGGTAGGCAGCATTACTACCAGAGTATTAGTAAGGCCAAGAAGGTTATTTTAAACCTCCTTGGTAAGGCAAAGACTTGATACAGATAAGCTGCTACAGATAAGATACAGCACATGATCATGTACTTGTAAATTCAAATGATGTGTGAATTTTCTCAAATTGAACAAGACATTATGATGCACAGGTGACAAATAAACCAAGAGTGGATTGACTTATGAATAGTACACAAACTCATCCACCATTACAACAATCACAGAAGATTACTAGTAATATATATTAACTTGTTGCAAGTAAAGTTGATGTATAATACTATTAATATGAGACTCTTTGCAGCCTTGTGGTTTTATCAATTTGCAACATTTTTTTGCCCACAGATTTACAGAGTCCTGTCGAACAGTGTGCAGTCAAGCACCCTTGTCTGCCAGGGACACCAACACGCTACCTGTAGAATCCTGTCCTGGTGGGGAGAAACCTGCGGTTATGAATAAACCGCTGAAAGCAAAGGCACCAGCGCCTCCTGTAGATCCACAACTGGAACTGCAGGCTTGGAATCAAGCCATTTTAAAGAGGTTTGTTTTTCGACTCGGTTATCTTCAATGTTTTCAGGCAACACATTCCCTTTATACTTTAGTGTTCTACTTCATATTGGATTTGTACTATTATAGTTTTTGGCTCAAGATTATTTGACATTGATCTGTTCCAGACTGACAGAACTGTTAGGAGAAGACTGGGTGTGTAGAATGATAGACCGCTACTGTATCAACAGCAGCCACATGAAGCACACGGTCACCAGAAGGAGCCGGTCTGGCATTGTGGAACCTACAGATGAGAAAGGTTTGAATGACTGTTCGATAACTTCAACATGTATGTCAGGTTTAACTTTTTTTATGCCCTTTTCAAACCCACCCAAACACATGTATTAAACAATCAGGAAAGCTACATTTTGATATGATTGTATTATGGTCAAATTACATTGTCTACCAATGACAAGTCAAATCTCTTCCAGGTAATGGATAATCAATGTGGTACACTGTCTTTACAAAATTGTCTTCTTTACAGATGATGTTCCACACTGGGTGCTGTCTGCTATGAAATGTCTGGCCAATTGTGAGTAACTGCTTCCTTAAGAAGTAATTTGTCATCAATTAGAAAAGATAATTCACTGAATTGTGGATAATTGGTATATTGGACAATCTATATCCAACAGATGATGAAGTGACTGAATTGAAGATCAGGATGATTTTTGCATTACATGTAAATTGTAATACAAATGTTGCTGACTTGCCATACAGCATTACTATCAATGCAGTGTATTCCTATCAGAACAAACTTTTATATGTACACTGTATATCACAATGAACAGTTTTGCATCTAAAACTTGCCGTCCTGTTGTTAGGGCGCACAGATAGTGAAGAGGCAGAGGAGTGGCAGTCCTGTTACTCTGGGTTTGAGTTAGACGTGCTGAAGGTGATCTCGGAGTACTTCCAGGGCCTGGAGCAGCCTCTACTCCATCCTGTCTCCGCCAGTCTCATCAACAGGCTGCTAGGTGAGTTATGTTAGGCCTGGACAGAGCTGGGCTTTCAACAGTCTATAGATTGAATCACATACCAGAGGAAAACAATCGTTATAGTTCTTTGTATTTAACCAAGTGTTTGTACCTAGCCAAGGTATTTAAATCCAGTGATTTATCAACCTGATGACCAACATATCATTGACTTGTCTAATTTACATGTACATGTAAGTAATGTTGTATGGTTGAACTTGAATATGTTTCCATACCAGTACTTGTCACAGCCTGGCAAGTCCTAAGAGCCACTTACACTAAGTTACAGTTACCTGTCTGTCCAATAGAAAGTGTTTTAAAGGTTAAAAGTAAAGGCATGGGAATTATAAGGCCTAGGAAAAAAAATGTTGTGTTTCCGGTTACCCGACCGACCCTATGAAAAACCCCCCGACCCTAGCCTTTTTTGGGGCCGACCAAAAATTTCGAGCGGCTAGCGGTCGGTTTTCAAAATTGGGGGTTTTATCCCCGATAAATGTGCTCGTCATTCCAATTTTCTTCGGTCGGGCGGCGTGGATCGAGCGCTAATTGCACGGATCGGGCCGCTATTCAATTCCATTGTCGGCACAATCCTGTGAATTGACGATGAATTGTCGAT